TCGAATTAACGAGCCGAATAGACGTAGTCAATACTTTCATAGAGATAAAATTCGATTTAATTACATTAGAGATAAATATATGGTTTAGAGTTTAAAGCATAATTAAAAATATTCTGTTTCATAAATATATTTTAATTACTCGTCTATGTATCTAACTGTTTATAAATACAAAGAGTAAATAAAATATATTGAGTAATTCATAAGTAATTGTTTCATTTCTCAGTAAATACATAATTTACATACAGCTATTTAGCAATATAGTTACTAACATAGATAAACAAAAATAAGTAAGTTAATAAAGAAATATTAAACATCTATTCTTGTATCAAAGTACTGTACCTGTAAAAAACTAATAAGTCTCTATGAAAATATTAAGAATATTTTTGCGTTTTTTAACTTTAATTTCGAAATGTGGAACTGGATTCATAACGAGTTGTAAGCAAAACAGTTTCTCTCTTCTCACGGGAGTACTTATTACAAAAATGTAGCTGCTGGAACTTGAACAATTTCTCATGGTCGTCATGTAAATATATACAAAGATATTTAACAAATCTGAGTCAATCGATTGATCGTATCGTATGTTATTGTGTACAGTGCAAGTCGTTTCTTTTTTTTTCTTTTTCTTAATCTACTTCTGCATTTTGTATCTTTTTATCGGGCCTCGATTTTCGATATCATCAATATAGAGTGAGAGAGTACTATTTTCTATCTTCACAGAAGACATAGATAAATATATATTTTTATAATCTTTTCTTATAAATGTAATTCGCTTACTTTAAAATCATTACGCGTAAATGTCAATAATATTAGTGTCGGTGCTCCTTTTTCTCAATTTCATACTCGTTCTACCTGTTTTCAAATTTCCGTATAAAATAAAAATCTACGCGACCGAACCGAATTCCTGTGAGTATCTTTCAAAAATATTGCGGAATTTTTTTAGAAACAATGTATTACTAAACAATTCGATATGTAACCACGAGACGTTACTTTGTTCATTATACATGTAATTATAATTAAATATGTATTATAAAAACATTACATGTTATATTTATTGAAATTACTGCAAATGCAAAATAAAAAACTTTGTCTTTGATAGTTATTAACAAGCAACGTATTGCAAAAACTTATTTATATGTAGCATAGTCGTGGTTACAATTTCAGTTTAATGTATAAACGATTTTGCTAAATCACAATTTACATATTGACGAAAGATATAAGTAATAAAAAACGATGAAGGAATTACTATTGGCTAGCATCCATTTGAAAGAAATACTGCCACGAATCATTTTTTAAGACATAGTTACAAATGGATATTATTGAGAAGAATTATAAAATTACTTTCTTCTATATTTTTTAATATTTTTTTAAACTCTCTTTCGAGAATTACTTTCAAATAGACACTGAGCTTATATGAACAAAAAAAAAAAAGAAAAACGGTAACAATGAGTAAAACATATAAAAGCTGCCAGTTAAAAAACACATTCACATATCGATTAAACATAAATTCCTTTCTACTCCAGTCAACCCATGTAGCAAATTCACTTCTCACCCCAAATAAAAAGCGACATTTCTGACTAAAAGAGATCAAAATACATTGCCACTTGTTCCGTAAAAGTTAATTAAAGTAAGAATACAGTAAATAATATTATCTTATTAAAATATACACGACCTTTTCTCTTGCTTATGTTACTATTTATTCCTTGTGATGTGTGTGTGATTAAATAAAGTCAACTGCAAGATATGGTCCTCTACTCGTTTAAACAATTGCCACTAAGTTCATGAAAAATCTCTGTATGCATTCTCTATGGTCCATGTTTGTGTAATATGTAAATAATATTATTAAGTACGAAACGTTTTTTTGCAACGGGCTATTGTATCCCCTTATATCAGTGCTTTGAAAAATACTTTTAACTTACAGAGATTTGGAGAGCGATATTGAAATCAGATCGAACGATGTACCATAATTTAAATATCGACGCTCCATGCCACTATGAAATCGCCGTATGTTTTGCTATATTTGTGTTTTAAGATTGATTTCAATACACTCCTGATCGAAAAATGCCAAGATCAGATTGTTAGAGTAATCAAAGTCCCTATCACATAGCTATAACTTATGATGGTGGCCTTCCATCTGTATAATCGATGTATATCGATCTGGTATATCGCTTTGTAAGTGTAGAGAAAGATAAAAACAAACAAAGTACGCTAAGTAAGGAAAATCATTCATCAGTAAGAAATACTATAGAAAATAATCTTAGAATACAAAGTAAAGTGATTATTATGAGAAATACAAACACATCCCTTTAACCTAAGTGTCGCTGTATAATCAGAATGGGTTTGCACATTAGCAAATGCGTTTTATAAGATTAAATTTGAAAAAAATATATAAATAATCATTCTTTTTTAATGGTCAATTGCAGATTGATCGCTGTAGCAAGATTTTCACTGATAAGAATTTTTGCGTGATGCGAAAAGCAGTTCTGTGACAAAGCTTAAAGAAACGCATGTTAATGTTCAATATTTCATTTTTCTTCTGTCTCTTACTTATAAATCTGATAATTAAAACAATATATAATATTGTATTTCATATTACATAAAAAAATCATAATGGCATATCTCTCGGTCAAACTTCATTTCTTTTAAAACTTAGAAATCACTTAGATAACTTTATACACGATCATTTATAACAATGTAAATCGTAATCATTGCATTAATATTTAACATATATACTCTTATACGTAATATATGTATATCTGTGTGTGGATGTTTCTTGTCTCGAGTCTCTATAATATATCGTCTAATGTAATAATAAAACTATAATACTAAATCAAATATTGAGGTACCATGCCTTTCCGAGATCAGAGTCTGTTTCTGTTTTCTCTTTTTTTTATTTTTGTTGCATAATTATATCTTTCTATGCAGTTTTATACCAAAATTTATTGTCAATTTTAAATTAATTTATTACAATATAGTCTCTCTTATTAAAATCGATTCTCTTTAAGATTAATCGACGATTTATTGAGACGTCGATTAAATAGGACAATGATTATGATCATAAAATATATACATGAAAAACTTTATAATTCCTATTTTATTATAAAATTTACAGTTGTATGATATTTTAAAGATATTGTTCGGGATAAAGTAAAAATTTCTTCTTAATATCATGTCAAATTTTTATATATTAACTCAAGATCAACACAAAATGTAATTAAATCAATTAAGTCACTAAAAGTGTGAATTTTGAATCAAACTCAAGCTCGGGCTGGCCAGTACTCTATTATATGTGTGTACATATGTGTGTATAGTCCTTATTAAGAAGTTTCACGGAAAACGTTCGCAACATATTTCATTAATTTTATTTTGCGTTACAAAACACTCGAGTTCGAGGATAGAAATTAAACTTTTTGGGAGATATTTATAATATTTATTATATAATACTTAGAATTTTTCATCTTTAATTTAATTTCTTAGCATGCACAGCCGGTTCTTGAAATATCGCGCAACTTGTTTCTTTTATTTTCTAATATTTCTCTATAACTAATTCTTTAAAATGAGAAAAAATATTTTTTATAAAATTCAAATTTATGAAATTAGCATGTTACATAACGAAAAATTCGCATACAAAAATTTGCAAAAAAAAGAAAAACGTATGCAATGCAATATTATAATAATTGTATATAGAGGATGTTTTATTATAACATCTATTATTTACTCAGTATTTACAACTGTTTATAGGATGATTTTCCATAATTTTTATGTCATCGATCGAATATTTTCCATCGAAACTCTTCTATGGACGCGAAAATATTTTTGTATAAGTGTAAGCAATGTTTACACTCACATATTCACGCATCACATCGCACAATCAAATTCCTCTATTCTAAGTGTTCTTCTATTCTAAATTAGCTGAATTCCTCTAAACTAAATTTTTCTTTTTACGCTACTGCTTACTATTTCCCCATTTTGTCATATTCGATGCAATAATACAGTGAGAACAAAATATACTATGTAATAACATTTCCAATCAGTTCGTGTCATTTGGAATAAAAATAAAAAGTAAAGGGAAGATTAGAGGAAATGTTCGACATTGCTCAACTCCAATAACTTTAGAATAGAGGAACTCTGCTATTTGTATATATTGTATTTTCACAATATAATCATGTGTGTATATGTGTATGGATGATCTTTATGTGATGGTAGGCACTGATGGGGGTGGATGGCTGCATGGCGAGCAGGTTCAAGCAGGCTAGTCTTGGACCAATCTGTATATGTGATGCTGAGCACCGTGTTCAGATGCCGATACTTCGAACACATATGCCGTACACAATAACGTTTCCTGCGTATCCCTGTTCGTGACAACCTGAAAAGAGAAAAGGTAGAAGTAAGAAAATATGTACCTCTATAACATTTATAGCACAAATTATTTGTAACTAATTTTTTGTTTATACAAAGAAGAAGAAATACAATAATATTAATATTCTAATATTAATATTCTAGAGTAATCGTAACATCAAGACAAATAAGTTTAAAATTAATGGGATAAACTCAAAATATAATTTTTTTTTAAATAAATTTGAAGCGGACTAGGTATTACAAACGATCTTTAAGTTTTTATTCAAGAATAAATATAAAGAATTATTTATAATATATGATATATAAAATTGACATATATGTCAACACACCTGAAGGATGGTGAAATTTTCGAGAACGCTATTCATCATGTACTTCTCTGGCAGGTGCTTCAGTTTGTGGATGAAATTAATCATATATTCGCACATAGGTGAA